AGTATATGCGAAAATAAGATGAAAAATAGAATTATATGAAATATTGAAATATGAAATATAGAGAGTTGTATGTAGAGATGATGAAATGAATATTATATGGGGATATAAAAAGAATAAATAATAATGCGGCAATGAATAAAGATACTGAAATAGTATATGCGGAAATAAATAAATAAATAAAAACATAAAATAAAGAGGGGAACAATTATAAGAATTTCTACGAAATTAGTACGAGAAATAAATAGTACAGGAAAAGAAGTAATGAAATTGGGAAAGTACTTGGAAATTTGATTCTTAAGTTGATATAATTAGTGAAAGATTAGTAGATTTTGTTTGGAGAAGTCTGTATTTTTCATAGAGTAAATTATTAAAAAAAAAATATTCAAGAGATATGCTTATTAATAAAAGTCAGTTTATTGTTATGTTAATATTAATAAAATGTTTAAGTTTATCGGTAAGAATTTAGATTTAGTAAGTGCTGATAGTTAGCACTGAACAAAATCCAAATTGGGGGGAAGTTGAAATGATTTCAATATGTCAAAGAGGATATAACTTAAAGGGATTTTTATATGAGTTTGTTGTTCATGAATTTCATGAAGCCATCACAATGTGGGGTCGACTCTGAAATAAAAGGGAGAAAAGATTAGTAAATTGCTAAATAAATTAATTTTGACTTACCTGGTATAGTGTTAATAATTTCTGAATAGTATAGTTGCCTAGTGTATAGGTGAATCGTCTAAACCTTAAAAGGAATAAAAAAGAAGAATTCTTAAAAAATTATTTAAACATAGAAATTTTAAAAATAAACGTCAGAAAAATAAACTGTCAAAAGTCTGTGGGAACTAAATTAATAGGGGTTTTGTTAAATAAATTACAATGATGTGGAGATGAAAAGAATAAATTATATTAGTATTGTTAAGTTTTATATCTGAATTTTTTTTTATAAATTCCCAAATTAGATGTGATTAAAGTGCTTATGAGAAATTAATGTGGTTTGACAAATATGTCAAAACAGGACAGTTTTATGGTTGAATAAAATAGAAGACGGAATGAAAAAAGAAAGGGGGTTGCTGTTAGCAACGAATAATTTTGGTGGTTGGTGCTAGCTATGGCGGTGAACAAGGAAGAATAGGTTGTTGGAGGCGACGAAAATTTTGGAGGAAGAGCCCTAAAAAGGTGGAATAGTCCGGGAGTGCTTTAAAATCGTTTAATTATAATTTAGTTTTTCCACATTTTCAAATAGAGATATCCAGAATTTGTTCCAGAGAGTAAGAGAAATTTTGACTTATAAATTATAATTGGAGTGCAGAAATGTCATTTAGATTGAAAAAGTAAAAATTCATGAATTAACTAATTGCGATAGGCCTTAAAAATTGAAATATTAATGATCATTTAAATAAAAATATAATAGTACGTACCTTTAACTTCCGAAGAGAGGATAGATATTCCAGTATCACCGATTATTTTGCGAGTAGTTAGTTTTCTTTAAAAAAAAAAAATCAGAACTGTTTGAAAGTGAGTTTGGATAATAATTTTGGGGATCATTTGAAATTTTGATTATATTTTAATGCTAGTTATAAGTCAGCGGCATAAAGTGTTCAGTTTTCTTTTCTTTATATTTCATTTAAACACTTTATAAAGTTGCAATAGTCATTTAGATTTGAGGTAATTGTAGAGAGTTTCCACATTTTGTAATCAAATTCTATTTTCACGACACATTAAGGTTTACACGATTCCTATTTTTGTAAATTTTTAAAGGCAACCCAAGTTGCAGACGAATTTTATTGTTTATATTAAATTTGTTCAATATTAATAAATAACGTGCTTCATTTGGGTTAATTTATCAAAAATATAAAGTAAATTTTGGTTTAATTTCTTTTTGAACTCTACCAGGAGACTACAGAGTTGACGTCACACAGTGACAGATTGCTTAGAACAAATAATTGAGCTAGCCGAGGTATAGTATATTAACAACGAACTACATACTTTTAAAATTCACTTCAATTCAATTAAAATTATATTTATTAACAATAAAACATAAAAATAATAAAAACAAAACTATTACAGTATATATATATATATATATATATATATATATATATATATATATATATATATATATATATATATATATATATATATATATATATACTTTTAATATTAAACCCTATACTTGTAAAAAAAAAATCAAAACCACTTTTTCAAAAACGCACCGTACTTGGGAGGCACCTTCAGATGGGGAATGGGGGCAGCTTCAGACACAATTGAAAAAATGACTACCTCATATAAATGTTTTAGAAATTATTTATTACAATATTTAAAACTATATTATGATACTTAATCAAACCTCTAATGCATATTGAAGTTTTCCAATGAAACTGAAAAGGACAGTAATGATTTATGTCGCTTTGTACCCTGCTCAGAAGGAGTTGGCAAAAGGGCTACAATTTCTGGTAAAGAAGCACTAGAGATATTTGGTAGGATGGAGTAGAAAAATTATAAATTTAGTTTAGATACATTCCCAAAAAGGAAATTTCAACATTCCCATCATCACATTTACCAATGAATCTCCCAGCATAGTACACATCTTGTTGTTTTATTTTCAGTTTTCAATTCACTCCTGTCAAAATTTTGCTGTGGTTCTTCTAATACTTTATCATCAGAGTTTTTGCCATTTTCATCATCAGTTGTCTTCTCATTCTTCTCATTTTTAAAAAGTAGTTTTATTTTCGTAGATTTAGTACGTTCTGCATTAGAGTTGGTAGTTCTGTTTTTTTATTGACCTGTTTTTCTGTCAAAACAAGCTTTTCTGGGATGTCAGTTATTATTCTGCTTTTCCCCTTTTCTCTTGGTTTCTTGGAGCTAGTATTGAGTTTCGATTTTGGATATCCTCGTATCTCCTCAGGACTTAAATAAAGTAGAGTTTTGGCAGCTTGATGTTGATGAAGTGTCTGTTGGTTGCTGAAAGTTTTTGCTTGAAATTTAGGGAGATGAGGGTAGTTTAGAAGTTGGTAGACTTGCAGCTAGTTGGAATGTTAGAGGTTCATCAGGAAGAGTTTCGTCTGGAGGATTAGGTCTCTCACTGACCAAACTGGGAGCAAATATATCGTCGGTGAAAATGTGCCTGTCAACTGGAAATATTCCTGGTTTTTTTGAAAGAATTTATAATGCTCTGTGGTAACATGGCACGGCCATGTGCTATTCCAACACATGGAACACTACACATATTTTCATATGTTCGGCATCGAAATTTCCTTTTGTTTTTTCTTTCTTTCTATTTATTACCATCTCCATATAACTTTTAAGCACGTTATTCCAAAAAAAAGGTGTCTCTATTTTCCATTGCGTTTGTCTGATAGTGCCCCATACCCTTTTGTCTGAAGGTGTCCCACTCGATGTGTCCAGACAAAATGTAAAAATATAACCTAAGAGTGCCATCAGTAACAAATGTGTATAGTACAGGTTATATAGCAATAAATGGACTTAAAACTGGTAGCAATGTTAATTATCCTAAGTCTTATTAACTAACTCATCTTAGCTTCAATCCAAAAATTTTATTTGAACCACCAAAAACTAACTTTTCACTTTATGACATGAACCCTTTACTACACTGTTCTACAGACTGAACTACAATAGTGTGAGTAGTAATGGAATGTTTTGATGTCAGTGTTGTCAACCTGAGTCCTTAAATTTACCCACAATATCAATGTCTGAAGCTGCCCCCTGTCTGAAGGAGCCCCCTTCTCCACTGAAGCCTTTATTTTGAATGTAAATGCATCAGTAAAAGAATGGTTACGATCTAGAAAGTGAAGTGCTTACATAGAATCTGTTTTTGTATTATTGAAAGCCCTTTTGTGTTCTGCTATACGTTTGTTAAAGGTTCTACCAGTTTGACCGATGTAAATTTTTTGCAGTCACTACATTTAATTTTGTATACATCACTGTTGTAAGTGCTTTTTCTTTTGGCTTTTGTTGTTCTTAATATATTGGTTTAAGTTGTTTGTCCAGAAAGTTGGAGTTATTTTTTTCTGTTTTTAGGTTTTTTATTGTAATATTCTAAAATTTTCAATATTTGAGATACATTTAAGCATCGTAAAAATAGCTATTATGATTGCCAACCTCCGTAGGGAGACGGCACTCTAAGAAGAAGTATCGTACTTCTTATTATGTTAGTACTATCCTAAGTCTACGTATTAAACAGCGACATTCCACAGTATATTATTTTATATTACATCAATTAAACGATTTAAAATGGCTAATCGATCAAAATCGAGTATTTAAGAGTGAATTTAACCTAAGAGTTGTGAAATTAATAGTTCCAGGTCTGATCAGGGTGATAAATATATTGATAGAAAACTTAAACACGCCTTGTGTTCACAGTAGTTACTATTCAAAGGTTGTTCTTCAATAGTGTAAAGTATACAATTTGAATATCATTCTAAATTAAAACGAGAAATAATACAGTTAACGTATTTTAAGAAAACAACTTGTTAAGTAGTAAAATATTTTAATTAATTGCTTATATTAGTTTTGAAATATATAAATGTAGAAAGTATGCTTCCTATAACAATAAGAATATCATAACTTTATATGAAAAATGACATGAAAATTGTCAACTTGAAATAAACAATGAAGGCTTAATTCAGAGAATCTGCATATGTCGCCCTGATGGTACCTAATGAGGATAAAATACGTATAAGCGGCTGGCGGATGCCCGGCATTGAAATTAAATCTAATACCGTCCTTCTGTTTACTCGGTTTTGAGTATTAGAAACTAACTTCGCTAAGAATTTTTGCCCTGATGTACAGCATGTGAAATGCAAATTTTAGATTCCCTTCGACTAATTTATCAATCTGTTTGCTTTGCAAGTTTTAGAAAGCACAGTGGTAAAAATTTGAATTTAGTTTTACCAAGTAGGATTTTTAGTGTTGAGGACTTATTTGAGGACGCCTATAAAAATAAACATTCTATTGAATTTTAAAATGTTTTGGACTATTAGTCACGTTTTCCCTTATCGACATAAATAGCTTAGTCAGTAATTGGCTTCAGTTCGCTTTAACTACAACCAGATGTGATTATATAGTGCTTCGTATTACACGAGTTTCAAAAGAGGTGTTGCTTGAAAAAGCCTTGGAAGAAGCTAATAATGAGGAAAATGAACAACTGGAGAGTATTGATTTGTGTATTCTGCCACCAAATTTGGATGAACTGACAGATAATGAAGAACATGATGATGATATTCTAGAAGATCCGAATTACATTCCAAATGAAATTCCTGGAATTATATAAAACCCTTTTAAGTCTCATGATGAACCAGAAGATGTAAGAACTTCTGATGAAATTTCGGGTGGACAATCAAAGGAATATGCTAATTTTTTAAAACCCAAGTGGGTAAAAACCGATTTTCAATTTACTACTACAACAGTAGATATATCATTTGAAAAGGAGAAGAAAAACGTTAAAGAATATTTGAGGAAATTATCACCAATTATAATTTTTGAAAAATTACTTACTGAAGAAATTATTACATACATTTGTGATCAGTCAATTTTATACGCACGGCAAAAAAAATAACCACTCTTACAATAGCTCCAAACGAAGTGAAAACTTGTTTGCAATATTATATCCAACTGGATATAACAGATTACCAGGAGAGAGGTTATACTTGTCATTAGATGAGGACCTAGGAGTTTCCTATGTTTACCACGCTATGAGCAGAGACAGGTACTTATGTAGAAATAAAAAAGTTGTTCATCTAGTGGATAACGCCAAAATAGGCGATTCTAAAGATAGTATGTACAAAATTAGACCCTTAGCATATAAAATTATAGAAAAATTCTGCCAGTGGGGATGTTTCCATAAAGATATATCCATAGACGAATACATGCTGAAATATTTCGGCTATAACCCAGCAAAACAATTTAGTAGAGGGAAACCAGTCAGATTTGGATATAAGAATTGGATGATAACTGGTTCCACTGGATATTGTTATGGTTTTGACGTTTATTGTGGAAAAAAACCAAATGATACTGAAGATACTAAAGGAATACCACTTGAAGCTAAAGTAGTAATTAATCTTTTGAAATACCTGCCGGAACCATCTAGAAATGAAATTTTTTTCGATAATTATTTCAAGACATATCAACTAATGACATAACTGAAACAAAAAAAAACATAATGGCCACAGGAACTGTAAGAGAAAATCATGTGCAAACATGTCTAGTAATGGAGTCTAAGCTAATGAATAAAGGCTTGGACCTTTTCTTGTGTAACTCCATTTTCATTTTTAGACACCTTTTTTCTTCCTCCGTTTTTTCCACTTGGATAAGGTTTTGTAATTCTAGGCAAGTACTAGATGCATCAATGCTAGGTTAAGAGAACCCAATGTTGAAATCTGAGCAAAATATTTTCCTGAAAAATCCCTGAGTAATCTTCTCAGATTCTTCTTTACCACAATTCAACATTTTCCACATTTTATTTACTTATAAGATAGTTCATTCGATTACATGAAATCAACTTTAACTTGAGAATATCCGTCAGAAAAAATCATAGCATGTAATTCGTCCTTAAAAAGACAAACACATGACATGATGACAGTAAAATTCTCCTGTTAGTGATTCCATAGTAAATTATGAGGGAAAAACCAGGAAAAAAACCTCATAATACTATACCGACATTGTAAGTATTTGTTCGTGAATTTAGTTTACCTTCAACAAACATCAAAATTCTGATTTTATATGTTACGTTATTTAAAAAACATAAATGATGTATCCTCTATATGTTACTGACTTACTAATACTGGTATTTTCTTATTAATAACTTCCTCTTTCAATATTGGTAACCAGATCCTACTACATTCTGCCGAGGAATTTGCGACACAATTGGCCTCATTTAGCATAATTAGAGCCGCTTCTTTGATTTTTCTTTTTTTACTATCCGTTTCTTTTAGGACTATATTTGAATTATTCCATTGAACCCTATGTTCATTATCCCATGCGTGTTTACATATTTGAGATCTATCAAATTCTCTATTTTTAATATAAGATTGATGTTCACTTATTCTAACATTTAATGGCCTTGATGATTCACCTAAATAAAACTGATCGCATTCACAAGGTATTTTATAAATGCAATTCTTTGTCCTTTCTTGTTCATTATTAGGTTTGGTTTTGGACAAAATAGATCTCAACGTGTTTGTTGTTTTTAATGTTGTTGAAATGTTGAATTTATTTCCTATCCTTTTAAGTTTTTCTGATAATCCTTTTATGTACGGTATTGTTATTTTCCTCATATTATTCCTTGTGTATGCTGTAGGATCTCGTTCTAAGTTGTTCTGTTCTATTCGATCGATTGTTGAAAATTCCTTATTTATAAACGATAAAGGATAATCATTTTTTAATAAAACATAAAACACACCTCATAATTTACTATGGAATCACTAACAGGAGAATTTTACTGTCACCATGTCATGTGTTTGTCTTTTTAAAGACGAATTATAAGTAAAGTCGTCCCAGGAGCGCAACTCAACAATATTGGCAATATCATTTTAAAGTCGTCTACTTTAAAATGCATAATGTATGTCTGAATTGTCAATATAAATGAGTCAGATAAAATTAAATTATTAGAAGAATTTTTTCACTATGTAACAAAAAACAAAATTTGTTTAATTTACTATTTGTATTTTGAGAACGATTTCCGAATTGGAAATTGAAACGTCAATAAACGTATTTTTATCTTTAATTGTGGCTTATTCCCAGTTATAAATAGTAATTAATTTACAATGCCATAAGAAAATAGCTTCAGAACAATATTACCTTTGTCATTTTTGGATTTTTTTTCCATTTTTCGGGATCGCTCTTCCTCTTACGCGTCGTCCCTGGATTGACAAATATATTTGACTCCATGAATTACTGTAAATTAAGAATATGCGAAAAACTAGTGATAAATACAAATAAAACGATTAAGATCAGACAAGTTGAAATCTGATTTTGAAAAAGCATTTGACAAAGTAAGACATGAAAAATTAGTCCAAATTCTAGAGACAAAAAACATAGACCATAGGGACTTACGAATAATAACAAACCTCTACTGGAATCAAAGAGCACAATTCAAGAAATCAACAATGGCGGCCATTGTTGATTTCTTGAATTGCGGCATGCTCATTGGCTGTTGTGAAGATGTCCGTTTTTGAAATAAAATATAGTAGCAGGAGTGTTTGAAACAGACCTCTATAAGAAACCACTACTAACTAATTTTTTATTTTTTGACCATGTCCGTCTTTGATCTGAAGCCACTCATGTCAACAAGTTTATCGTGCCGAATATATTGATTAATATCCATACGTCTTTGGTCACCAATTTCATACCGAACAGCGCCTCCCTTGTTCCAGTTCCATCTCTGAATGGAATGGAAAAAGGAAAAATCACTTAAAATGGAATTAATAAGAAAAAAAGAATATTAGTTTAACATAAATAAAATTCATGAAGCGTTGACTGGAAGTCGTTTAGTTTCCGTACCTGATATATCTTTCGGTGCGTTTTGATTTGGTTTGAGTCTTCTTACAAACTCCTTCTGATGAGGGGTAGACCCAGAAACACGTGTCAGGGAGTGGTAAGAGACTCAAATTAAATCGAAACGCAACCTTCTTCGTATATTGATATATATTTGTTGAAACAGTAATATAGCATAACTTTTATTAAATTCTCGTTGATTTAAAATGGTATTCATATAGGAGAAAACTTCTTACAATATTCCGCAAATAGTAAGTTTATAAAAATCTATGCTCGCTTTTAAGTGCAATAAATTTTTATTTTTAATTTTTTGACATATTTATTACTTGAACGTCATCAGTGCCTATAATAGTTTGACGTAAGATGATAGCTTTGCACATTCATGTAAAAATTAACAATACGTTAAGTACACCGACTGATTTAATTTTTCGTCTCGTAACTGTAGTTGTGTAGAAATAAATAATATGTACAGCTATATTGTTATTTATTTCTGCAGTTCAGTTAGTATATTTTGTAACAGATTTGAATTATAAAATTGATATTCGTCAAGGCGTTTATAATATGGTTGGGCGAATGTCGAAACGAGATATTGTTAATATTTATCGAGATCAAAACATAAGCAAATCGACAATTTATCTCGAAATCAGAGGATGTGAAGAAGGGATACCATGTGTTAACTTGCGTAAAAGTGGCCGACCGCGGATTTTGAACCATATAAGAGAGGCAAGACTGATTGAAGCAGCTACAATGTAAAATCGAAATTGACGAGAAAATAATGAAGCAGGAAGCAAGATTTAGATATGTGAGAATAGATATAACTAGTTAAAGACATGTTGAAGAAGAAGTACGACTACAAAGCTTAAAAGCAAGTAAAGCGGTGGGATCTCTTATAGACAAAATCTGGAAGAACAAATACCTAAGACAAGAAACAAAGCAAGAATCTATAAAGCAGCACTTAGATACACGTCGGAGACAAGACCTGACACATTTTAAACGAGATGACTACTAGAAACAACAGAGATGAAAATACTTCGACGAATATTAGGGAAAAGTCTGTTGGATAGGGAGAGAAGCGAAAGCATAAGAGGAACATGCTATATATATATATATATATATATTATATATATATATATATATATATATATATATATAATACAGGTTGTTTACAACTGTCGTTGTTTTCCTGTCCCTAGTTTCCATCGTTTCCTATCTCGGGTGTCGGCTTCATTTAGCTGTCTTCCTTCCATGGCTTCATTCACGTCATCTCGCCAGCTTCTTCTTGGACGCCCCCTTTTCCTTCTTTCGGTTGGGATCCATTTTAATATTTTCTTTGGCTACCTCTCGTCTGCCATTCTGTTTACATGACCGAACCAAGTTAGTTGTTTTTTCTGGACTTCATCTATAATGTCTTTTTCTTGCTCCATTCTACGTTTTATTTCTTCTTGTCAATCTACAGCTTCTTCTTATAAAATTCATCTCGGTATCTTGTAATTTTTTCCTGTTTCTTTTACTAGTGTCCAGAGAATGGAGTTTAGACATTTGGTAATGTTTCTGCCTTTGTTTATTCTTGTATTTATTTCTTCATGGCTATTTCCGTCTTTTGTAAACACTACTCCCAGGTATTTTACTCTATTTGTTCCTTTGATTTTGTCACTCTCCAATGTCAGGTCTTCGACTGTATTTGTCCCCACTGAGACATATTCGCATTTTTTTAAGTTCATTGTCAGTCCACATTCTTCGTACGCTGTTTGTAGTTTCCTAACCATATAGCTGAGGTCG